GTGGTGGTTCCCCTATTTAAAAAGGGGGACCAGAGGGTGTGTGCAAACTACAGAGGCATCACACTACTCAGCCTCCCTGGGAAAATTTACTCTAAGGTGCTGGAAAGGAGGGTTCGGTTGATTGTCGAACCTTTGATCGAAGAGGAACAGTGCGGGTTCCGTCCTGGTTGTGGAACAACAGACTAACTCTGAGACACATGGTTTGCTAGCTAGTTAGCCAGCATTTTGCTAATATTAGCTATCAGGTTAACTAGCTAGTGATTAATGTTGAGCTTAGCTAGCTAACTAGCCCACTAAGCTATAACATGATAAATAACTTTCATTGATCAGAGAGCCTTACTCCCAACTATTTCACCTTTGACATGCAAACCTGACCAAACCAAGCAAACATGTCAGTTGTTGAACAGTGGTGTTGATAAAAGGGTACTTGAGTCAGGCTGGGCTGTGGGGGTTACACCTTACTAAACAGGTTGTTAACCACTGCACTAGAGGATGAAACCTTTGGACACTCCATGAGTTTTACTCTAGCATCACCCTCAGGGCAGTATGTGTACACAAGATATCTCATGATCTAAAACAATACTCGAGAGAAAAATGAACTCAATTCTAGTCTTTCCCTTACATTATTTCTAAAATGACATGCTATCCATGTCAGTGCCATTTGAAACCATCAGCTAGCATTGCCCTTTCATTTTCCCCCTTTAGTTTTAACCATTACCTGATTGCATGAGCAGTATTGCTTCTGAGCAGCATTGATCAAGTGTAAGTGCAGATTACCTGGGGGAGCCACAGAGAGGAATTCTGTGTATGTGTTAATGTTTGTTTGATATTGATGTATAAAAGTACAGTTGTCAATTCAATTCCCTCTTTGTCTAATTAATTGAACGTATTTTCTATTTCTAGGTGACTCAAAAGGGGCTTGAGTGGTGTTTGGAAGTCCTGGGGTAATTTTATTCAACGTTTTTTTTCACTCTTCTTCATTAGTTAAATCGAAGACGGTGAGGACGGTGAAGGTGAAAGACAAGAGCAAATATCAAAGGACAGTGCTTATTTCCCCTTCTCATGATGAGATGTTAAAGGTTCAAAACAGTAAATACCATATGCTATTTATAACTGGACTGGCTTTAAATGAAAGGTAATGCTCTAAATGAAGAGGAAAAAACATGGCGACAATTCAGATTCCAGCCCCTCATCACTTAGCTTTAATCAAATGAACGCTACTTTTGATTAACAAACACTTGGGGAATAAAAAAAGCCAGTTGTTAGCAGACATGAATGACAACGTGAGCTCCAGAATCGACACCCCAACCAACATCTCTCTGAGTCCTAGCGTCGTCGTCTCCGAGACGCTGGAGTACAAGACGGTGTCTGTGTTCCTGGTCCTGCTGGTGTGTGGCGTGGGCATCGTGGGCAACATCATGGTGGTCCTTGTGGTCCTCACCACACGCCACATGAGGACACCCACCAACTGCTACCTGGTCAGCCTGGCCATAGCCGACCTGACGGTGCTGGTGGCAGCTGGGCTTCCCAACGTGTCAGACAGTCTGACAGGCACGTGGGTTTTTGGCCATGCTGGCTGCCTGGGCATCACCTACCTTCAGTATCTGGGCATCAACGTGTCCTCTTGCTCCATCACCGCCTTCACTGTGGAGAGGTAAGCCAACTTTGAGTTATTTATTGATATGCCATAGAACCGTCATAAGGAAGTGACGATATATGGTTTCCCGCCCGATAAAGGGTTAACTGGACGATGCTTTGACTTTTAATTTGTATATGTTACAGAAGTGTTTTACCTTACCCTCTACATAAACAAGGTGAGGGAGTCAGTTATCCCCTTTCCACCAAACCCAGTGCTAGTTCTGGGCTGGTGCTAGTGTTGGTTCAACTTAGAGATTTGATTCTCTGCCTGAACTCAATTGGACCAGACACGATCCAGCAGGTTCGGACCAGAAAAACTGCCATAGGTCGGGCTTGCGTCGGGCTCAGACAAAATTAGATTTTAAAAAATATATAGATATTTTATTAATAATGCATGCAACTGTAATTAATGAGTGAATTTGTTATTTATTAGTTTTAGTAATAATTTAAACAAAATTATGCACAATGTAGTTTTCTTTAGCTTGTAATAAATTACTTAAATTATATACACTGAACAAAATTAT